AAGTCCTACTGCAAAACTGGTTGTCAAAGAAATGAGTGATGCTCAAGTGAAGCCTGCTAAAATATTAGCATCTGTGTTAGAGAAATTCCCTGAAGACCAGCCAAACCGAAGACGCATCTACAATGTCAGACAGAAACTGAGGTTTAGGGAAGGAACCCTATACAACAGCTTCTACACCAGGCACAAGCACGTGGTTACCTGTTCTGGTTAAATTCTGATGAAGATACAACGGAGGTGACTCATCTATTCCTTGTGCATCCTAATTGTGCTGATATGATCAAGTCTTGGCCATCTGTGATTTTGATCGATACAACGTACAAGACAAACAAGTACAGGTTCCCACTGGTTCAGATGATTGGGATGACTCCAACGAACCAGAACTTTTTGGTTATGCAATCATCAAGGATGAGACGGCTGCGAGTTATCATTGGGTCTTGGAGAAGCTGAGAAACTACATCGGCCCAAACGTTCAGCCATCAGCCATCGTTAGTGATTGTGAGGGAGGTCTCTTTGCCCCCATAGTAGAGTTGTTTCCAGAATTGAAGCACTTATTGTGCACATGGCACATCAACAACTATGTGAAAGTGAAAGCCTACAACCTTTTCAACAAGAATTTGGAAAGTGCAGAGAGATTGGTAAATGGTAAGTGGCGAAAGATCCTACAAGCTACCATAGAAGCAGAGTACGATCGAGCCTTGTCTAACTTCAGGGATTCGTACCAATGGTGTCCGGTAATGGTAAACTATGTGATGCAGCAGTGGGTACCTCACAGGGAAAAGTTTGTCAAATATTGGACAAACCAAGTACTTCATGTTGGAAACACTACAACATGTAGAGTTGAGAGCGCTCATAGAGCTACAAAGGACTGGATTGATTCTTCCACCGCTGCTCTGGATACACAGTTCGAGAGAATAAACAAGGCAATTGAAACTCAGAAGAATGGCATCAAGAACTCTCTCAAGGACTCTAGGCGGCGACATGGTATGATGTATGGCCAATTCATATTTAAGATTCTCCATGGTCGTGTGTCACACTACTGCTTGGGGTTGATTCTGACCGAGCACAACAGGATGAGGGAGTTGGTTGATGAAGTGGATGTTCTATGTGGATGTGCTATATCAGTAACTCATGGATTACCTTGCGCATGCACCATTCACTCCGTAATTACCCAAGATAGGACGTCGCTACATGTTAATCAGGTTCATCCATTCTGGCGGACGCTCGTTATTGGTGAGCATGCAGATACACAGACGGTCGACCATGAACAGGAGGAGTTGGAGCAGTTTCGTTCGATGTATGACCGAGTGTCCTCCAGTCATCCTTCGATTATTCGTGATGCTACTCACGTACTTCATGACATGTTCAACACGTCTGGCTTAGATCACGAGGAACCTGAAGGGGTCGAGCGACCTAGAGGTCGCCAACGGCGGAACATGAGTGCGTTTGAGTACATTCGTGGTTGTGGTCATGCATTTCGAGCTGGGATTGCATAGTTGAGCTTATTATCCTTGTACCACGGTTCTCCCTTGGTCTTCGCGTGAGACCGTCACTTCACCGGTAAGAAAGTTAGCTATTACATTTCTTGGGTCGTCATACAGACATTTCATCCGATTGGACCTGTCATCCGATTTTCCGGTGCCACCGATCATACCTCGGTGGTACACTATTCGCACAGCAAGCGTACAGGATTGGGATGCGCTGTATCACGACCGGATCCATCAATGGAACACCCTAGCTGCCTTTTAGTTTTTCATGCGTATACTATTTCTATGTAACCTCATTTTTTTGTTGCTATTTTTATCCAAACATTTATTTTTTGTATTCTACTTTTGACTACATTTATATCTTGCATGCATACTTTACGCATTACAAAGTAAAAAGTTAATGTCAAATTTTAAAAACTTAAGCGATAATGTCAAATGTTACAAACTTAAACAATAATTTCAAATTTTATAAACTGCAAAGATAATGTCCTATTTAACAAACTAATATAATTATGTAAAAAAATGTTCTAATAAACTGCCAAAATGAAATTCAATAACGATATAGAACACTTTAAAAAAACACAACAATAAATGTTTTATGAGACATACCGCATCTACGGCAATTGGCGGTGGCATATCATGATCATCGGCGTCGTCGTCATGGTCGAGGTCTCTAATCAACCTTGGGTGCGAATACCGGTTGTACCATTCCATGTAGTAGTGGTCACACATGGGAGGCACCCCAGTAGGCGGTCTCTATAGCTCCGTAGTCCATAAGCGGGCAACCATCGGAAACTGCTCCCACGTGGCAATCATGCTATCCGGCCATTGGACGACGTACTCCTTCGACGATGCAGATCGGACCGCCTTACTCGGTCATGCCGGTGGAGGAGGGACAACTTGGACGAATCCAAGCTGGCAAAGACAGCGCTGGGGCATGTATGCCTCCACGATCTCACGATACTGTATGAGTCCCGTGTAAAGGGTCCTGGGTACCCTATTACTAGGGTTCTGGCCGAAAGGCATCCAGTTCACCTGCACATAATTTTTCAAATTAGTAAGATTCATATAATAAATGCATTACAGTACAAATTTAGAAATAATTTATACACTTTACCTCTAAGGGGGACATCCTGTTAAGCGATAACCGTATCGGTCAGAGGTGGTCAACGGACTTCTTCTCCAATTGCAGACTCCACACACAGGCACGTGGCGTCCCATCACCAATAGGAACCGGGTCACGGTGCGGTCGAAATGTAGGAAAATACTCGTATATCCAGGTTTGCAATAAAGTCAGACATCCAGTGATACCTGCTGCGTCAGCCCGACTCGAAAATCCTAGTTGGCGATACAAATACACCAACGTAGCCGACCCCTAAGAAAACTGGCCAACTCTGTCGGGCTCACACGCATCAACTATGTCGCGTGGCCTGAGCTTGTTTCCGCTCTTATCCGGAAACAAGGTACACCTGAGGAGAAGAAAAACATAAGCAGCCAGCTATGCGTCGTGCGTCCTACGTGCACCGGGGTGCAAACAACGCTGCAAGACGGATGTGATCTTCACACCGCCGTGATCCCAAACACCAAGCGCCCCGGTGTACAGCGCAACCCTGTCCACCGTCAACAGCTCCGCCAGCAAATCTGCCTGATCCGCATCAGTCACAACAGAAAGGCATTTACCCTCTGCGCGAATCCCAAGAATGGCCTCGACGTCATGCAACATGATCGTCATCTCACCGAATGGAAGGTGGAAAGAGTTCGTATCCGGCTGCCATCGCTCAACGAAAGCCGTGATCAGCGTCCAGTCAATCTTATCGTGCATGGTGGCAGGAAGGTGATTCACCCCAGTGCTCTGCAGTCGCTCGAACATCTCGCTCTCCACCGGCCAAGCCTCAGCCCATCTGCTCAATACGGTACAAGTTTTTTCTCGGGTTTGGCATTTCAAAATGCCCGTCACCAAACCCCTCTCCTGGTCCTCCCAGATACGGTAGCTATGTGTCCTAGAAAGCTAAGAATTACACTCCTGTCTATAGGCCCCCCAGGCACCTCACCCCTAACCACCCAAGAATCATTAACGACCCTCGACCGTTTTCTGCTTACCCCAGACACGGTGGACGCAGATGATGTGCCAGATCTACTAACAAACCTACCATCCCTACCCTTACGCACATCTACCCTATGCGTCTCGTACATGTCATCAAGCCTCTGACTGAATGGACCGTAATCATCATATGGTCCACTCCCATCGTCCACATCCTCATATGCGCCCTCCTCCTCCTCCTCACCATCATCATCTTCATCCTCATCCCGATGGTGAACCCGTTCTCTACGAGCCGAGGCCGAAATACCACGGGATCTAAGATGTCTGGGCCCTGAGATCTCCATCGAGTAGTTTCCACTTTTAATAAGGTCTAGATTCTTCCCCGCACCATGGCGAAAATGCGACACCTTCAAAAAATTAAAAAATATATATAAACATAAAATAAATTATAAGAAAAATAACTACCAAAAACCAAATCAAATAGACTAAAAAAATACTAACAAAGTAACATAAAAAAGAAATTAACAGAACACTTAAAAAAAATTAAAGAATAAAATATAAACAAACAAAGAAAAAAAAACCAACACATACAAAATATATATAAACATAAAAGAAAAATTAAAAAAAATTAACTAAACGAAAACATTATCAAATAAAGAGAAAAATGTACTAACAAATTGCAATAACAAATATAAAAAAAAAATGTACGAAACAAACATACAAACAAATGTAAAGGAAATATAAACGTAAAAAAAATACAACAAAATTGAAAAAAATTATAATAATAAACAACAATATATACAAAAACAAACAAAAAAAAAAAAATCTGATTTAAAAAAAAAAAAAACTTAAAAAACAAAAAACAAAAAAAAATTCTGATTTAAAAAAAAAATAACTTAAAAAAACAAAAAAAAAATTCTAATTTTCAAAAAAAAAAACTTAAAAAAAAAACAAACAAAAATATTCTGATTTTCAAAAAAATAACTTCAAAAAAAAAAAAAACCCGTGAATGGCGGGGCGCCTGGCCAGGACGCCCAGCCACTGGTGGTGGCGCCAGATCTAGACGCCAGAACCACGGCGTTGGCGTATGAGCTGGATGCCCTAGCCACGACAGCGGCGAATTGGAAAAACGCCACAACTGTGGCGGCGACGTCCAACCCAGACGCCAGTGCCGTGGTTCCGGCGTCTGCTTCTGGCGCCACCACCACCGACTGGGCGTCCTGGCCAGGCGCCCCGCCCTTCACGATAGTTTTTTATTTTATTTTTTTTTTGGAAAAAAAGGTACCTTTCCACCGTGAGACCTCCTTCCCTCCGCCGCCGCCGTCGCTAATTCTTGCCTTGCCGCCTCGACATTGCCGTACTTTGAATTTTTTTTTTTTTAAAAAGATGTAGAAAGAAAATGAGTGAGATTTTTTTTTTTGTGATGAGAGTGTGTTTCTTTTTTTTATTTTTTTATTTTTTTTATGTTAAGGGCAATAGTGTTAATTCAATGGAAAATTGTGGGCTTTAATTGGTAATTTGTAGGCGATGTTTAGCGATTCAGTTAATTTTGTCCAAAAAAGAGGTAATAGAAGTTGGTAAACCATAAGACCATACATATTGGTTCTACATGTCCATCTGATTTAATTCAATCACATACAAATGATACAATTAACAATTTCCTTCCTCAAATGACCGGTTAACCATCTTGAAGAACATACCTTAAAATTAAATCCCGACTTTTTCCGACGAGATCAATCGGAATCTCGTCGGATCTCTCGATCCTTCCCTTAGGTATAATTTTCTCTCTCCTCAAATGGCGTCCCAAATTCGATCATCAACTTCGAATTCAAAATTCAGATGTTTTTTGCAGGTAATTTGAGCTACAATGGAGTGGACTACGATACAACATCTAGATCTTCGACATGTCGGTCGAGAAGCGAAGCCATTGCAGCCTCATGCCGCTGCTTTTCATCCCAGTCAAGCCCTAATTGCTACTGCTGTCGGAAAATACATTATTGGTAATATTGCTAATTCTCAATTTCCAATTGTTAAAATTAAGATGATTCTTTTTGTGTGATTTTGATTATACGAAGTATGTGATTGTTATTGTGTGATTGAGTTGGTATGTGATGTTGTTGAATCTTGCTTGGTGTGTTGTAGAATTTGATGCACTTACTGGGAGTAAGATCTCTACCATTGACATTGGTTCGCCTGTCGTTCGGATGTCATATAGTCCTACCAGTGGTCATGTTGTGATTGCTATACTCGAGGTAATTTTACGGAATTATTGAATTATGCTGCCTTGTTGTAAATTGTACTCGGTAATTTGCAATTCGCCCGAAATATGAGAGGTGTTGATTTACTTTTATACGGAGTATGTTTTACTCTTTAGCTTGATATATATATACGTATTAGAATAAAATCCAAATTAGGCCTACAACTCATTCACATGTGCTAGCCATTAATGTGGGTTTCTGTGATTCTTAGAAAAGCAAGGTTTGCCAACTACTTGATACATATATACATATTTCTTGCTTGAACATGTTACCTAGCTTGATTTACGCTTGTTTCAACCAGATCATTCCCTCTGAATTACCCTTTTTGACAAAATGATGTTCCAAAAGTCTCGGTCTACTTCTCAATCATAAGGCAGCCTAAAACCATAATTACCTTAAATTACGAGGGCTTAAATCCATGGATTGAATTGTCATTTTCTCGTAAGACTAGTTGAGGCTTAATATCTGAGCTAAGTCCTCAGAAAAGGCAGCTAAAAGATGAAAATACTTCAAGATTCATGGCGAAAGTTCTTTATAAGACTATAACTTCTATATTTAATATCAGATTTTAAGTCCCATTAACTTTCAATACCAGTTCATTCTTTCGTGTATATACTAGAGATATTGGTTTGGCTTGTTGCTCATTGGATGGACCAAGTTAAACTCCATATTGTTCAGGTTATTAAGACAGTCATCAGGATCCTTAGTAGCAAAATTCAAAATTTACATGACCTGGTGGTTGAGAAGGCTCACTAGTTGTGGGTTGCAAGATCGACATTAGTTAGTAATTCTTTTCAATTTACTTAATTTCCTCAACTCTGGAGTTTGGAGTAATAACCATCTACTTCTAAGGATCTAGCAATATAAGGACATGTTTCCCCTTTTATAAATTACCTAGCCACTCTTTGAGATATATCCTTGTAATCTTTAGCCATTTAGGTTGTAATGTCCCTTGTTCTTGAAATCGCACCAGCCTCAGTTTCCTTTACTACATCCTCTGGCTTATTCCCTTGAACAAAGCTATGGGAAGCTCTATCCGATGTCTCCTTGCTTGTGGATGTTGTCTTTAAATGGCTATGAGTTATCTATAGGAGTATTAGTTATGAAAGGAGGGTTATGTTAAGATATACTTCGTATTATCTAATCACTTCTTCCTTTATGGATCAATTACCTTTAAAGGAAGTTTACAAATATTGAATCATTTTCCTGCACGAAATCCAATATGGTCTTATTGAAATTTCGTAAGTTCCTCATTTACATGATTTTTATGGTCCCTCTCGCCTCTCACCTCTCAACTTTTACCTCTTTCTTACTGTTCCTCCTCCATGTTATGATATACTTCCTCTATTTTTATTACTCGCAACATTTTAATAGTTTACACTATTCACATACTCCACTTCAATTGCATTTCGTGATTTATATGGGATTTTGTTAGATTTGTCTCAATGTCTACTTTATTAAATTCTAATTTTTATAATTGTTACGAATGTATAATTAAAGATAAAAATGATTGAAGTTATACATTGGCAAATATGAAACAAGAATTGTTGCAAGTAAAATAAAAAAGCGGAGGAAGTATATGCTAATGATTGTTCCATTGACGTACTCCTGTCTACACCAGCTTCTTTATATCTTTTCAAGGCTCTGTTGTTGGGGAAGGATGTTGGCATGTATACGTTTTGGTAGCCACAATGTTGTGATGAGTCAAATTTCTAAGCTGTATGAGAATTGTGAGTGATTACCTTTGGGTAGTTTTCCTCCTTTCTTTATGTTGTAAAAATGGTTTCTAAGCACTTTTGAACCGACAATTGCTGATAATTCAGTTTCTTGTGAATGAAATGGTGGAAAGGGTACGATGTCTCTTTAGATTATTTTTCAATTTTTAAGATATCTTATTAACTTAAATGGTGCTTTTGCATCTTAGGGAAAAATAATTAAGGAATATGGGCACCGATGGTCATGTCTTTCTTCTTGAATTCCAGTTAGTATTTTGGTATGCTCTTCACAGAACTTCGCTATGATGTTCTTGCCATAAAAGTTCACTGTGGTGCTCTTGTCTCAAAATTCACTCTGGTGCTATGCTTCTCGCTTAACTTTGATTTAATATGATCTCTCTCTTCATCTCTTGGACTCATGTTGTTGACACTTCAATAGTTAGATCAATTAGTTTTAAGTGGATGCTGCCTTCTGGTACCACTAACCGCCGCGATCAGCCCCGAACTAGCATTTGGGGGAAAGTATAGTAAACCTGAGATCCTTAATTTGTGAACAGCTTAAAATCTTTTAATGACATTTCAAATGTTGATGGAGTGTTTTGCTGTTTAGGACTGTACCATTCGCTCCTGTGATTTTGATGCGGAGCAAACTTGTGTTCTTCACTCACCAGAGAGGAAAATGGAACCAATTTCTTCTGATGCTGAAGTTCATATGGCCTTGACTCCTCTCCAACCTGTTGTTTTTTTTGGTTTTCACAAAAAGATGAGTGTAACAGGTTTGTTTGGCTCTATTATTATGTGGATAATGAATTTCTAAGAGGTGCGGGTGCCTGTAGCTCAACTTGTTTGTCTGTATCAAATATCTTGTTTAGTGTTTGTTAGGAAGACATTGGTCTTATATTGGGCAATGTAACATTTATGAGGATTAAGGCTTTGATTAATTGATTGATTGATTGGGCAATGTAACATTTATGAGGGGAAGTTGGTTGAAGCTCTTATTAAGGGCTTCAATGTAGTTGTTGCTATTCCAGTTGGAAAAACTAAAACTTATCTAGATATAAAACTTACAACATTAATATCAAGTTGATGAAGCATTTCGAAGGTGAGTGATCCCCATATTTCTATGGGCAGGAATAGCAATAGCTTTTACTTAATCTGGAATTTGTCCAAGGGTTTCTTTTTGCTATCATGAAGACATGAACATTACTGCCTTCAATAAAGATTAGAATCATTGTTTATGTCATTATTAAGAATTAAGATCATGAACAATTGTGTATTGTTCCTATATTGTTTTTGCTGCTTGTAGAACAACTATTATTACTACCCTATTGTTTTCACGACTCCCTCCGTCCTAGATTTTTCCTTACACCTTCCTTTTTCACCTGTCCTTGAATACTCGTTACACTTTTATTTTAAGAATGACCCCATCTATGTAACAATACCTCCCTCTTCCTAAGACTAAAAAGTTTGGTCCCCCTCATATGCTTTCTCATTCAATAAAAAAAAAAAAAAAACCTCACTATTTCTTACCACATCTGCTTTTTCAATGATATTACAATGAATGACCCAACCACTTGTTGCCTATAAATTTTAGCAAAAGTGTTGAGGGATTTTTATTATTGTAGTTGTTGTTGTGGTTGTGGCAGTAACTAACTCTGGATAACTGGAGTTTGAGAAAAAAATTGGTATCTATAGCTATGAAGGGAGATGAGGCATCCGTGTTTGATTTAATTATTGTGTTCATGATGTGAACTTTCTGCCTTAATGGCTCAGCTTCTTTTTTTAGCAAGTCCACTTATTTATACTCTTTAAGCAGTTGTCGGAACTGTTGAGGGAGGCAGGTCTCCCACAAAAATAAAGACAGATTTGAAGAAACCTATTGTGAATCTTGCTTGTCATCCCCGACTTCCAGTTTTGGTAATTCCACTGCTTGATGTCTTGCTCACTTTTTCTTTGCTGCTCATAATCTGTTTGACCATCAATTCTGAGCTTTATGAGGCTGTGATTTCAGTATGTAGCTTATGCAGAAGGGTTGATTAGAGCTTACAATATTCATACGTATGCGGTTCTCTACACATTACAACGTAAGACTGGAGTATCATTCTTGCCTTCCTGTTTAGATTGCTTTGCAGCAGCATGGATACATATGTATATGCCTCACTTTAACCTGATGTTGCAGTTGATAATACTATAAAGCTACTTGGTGCTGGTGCCTTTGCTTTTCATCCAACACTAGAGTGGATGTTTGTTGGTGACAGGCGGGGTACACTTTTGGCATGGGATGTGTCTACAGAGAGACCAAGTATGATTGGAATGTAAGATCCTTTTTAATTACCTTTAATAAGTGTCTCACTATGACTTGTTCTTGAGTAAGCTGTTTGTCAATTAATCTGTCCTTTTAACTTGGGTCCTTCCTCCTTACTATTTTGTTATTACAATTATCTGCATATAAAATTGTGACATAAGTCATGCGCAATGTATCACTCTTTAAAATTTATTTCAGAACACAAGTGGGTTCCCAACCTATCACATCAGTTGCTTGGCTGCCAGCATTGCGGTTGATAGCCACTTTGTCAAAAGATGGTTCCCTTCAAGTCTGGAAAACACGGGTGGTACTTAATCCCAATAGAGCGCCTATGCAAGCAAGTTTCTTTGAGCCTGCTGGTTAGAAATTTCTTGAACTCTTTCCATTGCTGACAAATTTGTGTAGTAATCTTATTTTTAGTAAGATTATTAGTTTATCAAGCTGAACTCTAGAGGATTCAGGGTCATGTTCTCTGCTTCTAGATATGTTTTAACTTATTCCTGGGTATGAAACTTGTCTCACATTACCCTGTCATTTCTGTACAAGAAAGAATTAGTTGCTGTAATCTGGTTAATGTTCACCTATTGAAAAAAAATATTAAATAATCATATATCGTTAAATGCTCTGTAAATAATTATTAAGTGTTTTTATGCAGATTAACACAATCCTGTAAAAGACCCCTCTTGGTTTCTTGTTAGAAACAACAGTTATTATTTATAAATTTTAATATAAAGGACTTAATAATTTTGAAAAGCGCGCAAGACACATTCAGGCTCGAGAGCTGGCGCCTTAGCTCTGCTAGGCACAAGGACCTAAAAAAGGCTCATGCCTTTGTGCTTTTTTCTAGGTTGCAGGCGTAGAGCTTTTTGCACTTTATATTGTGGCCTTTGTAGGGCGTCAATAGCTGTTGTGTATTATAAGTTTTTTAAAAACACCACGTGACTTTGCAACAGTCAGTTTTACTTGAATACCAAAGGAGAGAGAAGGTGGCCATATCCACCCATTTAATTCAAGAAACCTAGCTATCATGGGGACTCTTTCTCAAAGTTATTTTATAGACTTATTTGATAGAATATAATTAATTGATATTTATAATTAAAGTACACCTCACCTACAAAAGGTGAGTGCCTTCACCTTGCGCCTATGTTCCAAGGTCTTTTGCGCCTTGCTGCACCTCGCGCCTTTTAAAAGTAAGTAAAGGAATGACAAAGAAGATAGGTAAATTACGAAGCCATTTTTCAAAATAGGAATGTTTGAACCGATTTATTAATTGAGTATGTAATTAATTGAAATGTTTTTTAGTCTTATGGACCTACTGTATTTAAGTTAACTGAAATTTGATATCACTGGGTAATCACATTGAAGTTGGTAGCTTGCTGAAATACTTTTCAGCAGCATGTTTTTCTATTATTTTGACATTATTGAATATTTCAGTATGCACCCTTCAAATTTCTTGGCTTCCAACAGGAAACTGGAAGGTTGGCATGATTACATCTGATAACACAAGTCCTATTTAATCCACGAGCACCCATAATTAAGTTATAATTGCTAATTTTATGTTGAATTTCCTAGAAAAACCCTTTGATGGACCTCTGTGTAAGGAGTCCAATTCTTCCCACATCCTAGATTTTTGAGATTCCCTCCTAAGTAATCTGTGGTTGGAAGAGCAAGGAGTATAACCTGTGTATGAAAGGAGATACAAGACAGACATAAAGTCCAGCTGGCTTTCAGAGAAAAGATTAATTGATAATGGCATTCTGAATTCCTCACCCTAGGATAGATAAGTGCTCATTAGTTTATTACTGATGAATGCTTTTCTCTCATAAGCCCACTGATTATGCTCCTTTGTACTCCAGAAATCTGCAGAACTGGAAACTGCAGTATCTATTCAGTTTTCATATCCAACCATAGAGATATTTTTGGCTGAATTAAGTTGAGCTATTTTAATAGACTAGACAAACTATTAGTAACAGAGTGATAAGCTTGAGGGAAGTGTTATTAGCTTCTTCGCCTATAGGCTGTGGCGGTTGTTGTTGGTCTACTGCCCTTTTTATCAGCATATTCTTTGTAGATATCTTCCTGTAGCTGCTTCTTACACCAATAAAGTAGCCTCAGAAGAAGCGTATCACATCTGAAAAGTCCTCGGTCAAAAATCTTAATCCCTTCATGTGCATTGCAGAGACTGTGTGTAAAGCATTCTTTGGCGAAGTCTAATTTTTTTAGATAATTTTTTTTTAACTATGTAAACAAATCTATTACACTTGTTGAACAATCAATCGTAGAGCTCGGCTCTTATTTTGCAAATACTCTACTGACTACTTCAGGGAGAGTATAAAGACATCATTCATTATACTTTGAATAACTACTATATTATGAATGCTTGGCTTGTGTGGTCTAGCTCCCTCTCTCTATATGTATGTATATGTTTGAGCGTTTGTGTCATCAATGAGACAATTTTTGGAGGTGCATGTACTTTAGTCCACAGAAATCCAGGAGAAGTTATACTTTTTAGCCAAGTATAAACTATTCAGTTTGTAAGAGTTTGCTGTGGTTGCAGCTTGATGTAAGCTGTTATTTGAAGCTGCTATCGTTTTCTTTCCTCTCATGTCTACAAATTGCCTCTCTCTTGTGTAGCAATCGAATCTCTCGACATTCCAAAGATTCTATCTCAGCAGGGCGGAGAAGTTGCTTATCCATTGCCACGTGTCAGAGCTCTGGAAGTTCACACTAAATTGAATATGGCCTCATTACTATTTGCAGTTGAGTATATTCATCTGAATGAATTTTCTTGGCTTATCACTTAATTTTTGAAGGTTTGATATATTTCTTTTTATCTTTTAGAAAATGGCAAATGTAGACAATGTTAAAAACAAGGCATTCACTAGAGAAGGAAGGAAACAACTCTTTGCTGTTCTCCAAAGTGCAAGGGGATCTTCAGGTGATAAGAAATTGTTTTTAGCTTCTTAATGCATTGCCATCATGTTTCTTTGAGATGCTTCAAAGCCTGTTTTCTTTGAAGATGTGTTAGAAGCTGGACATACAAGTGCACTAAGATTCTCTTTTTTTTTTTGGACTTCAAGTCTTTCTGACAATGTGATTCAACTATTGTTTAGTGACAAAGAAATAGCTTTGGCATCTTATACTGCTAGTCAAATATAGTAGATTTGTAGCTTCCATGCTGTTTGTTTATCACCTCACTTGTATTCTTAGAGATTTGGAGTTTGTGATTGAAGTCACTTATTGTTCTCTCCTTGCTAAACTTTGAGTTGCAACGAAATCTTGGACTAGGACTGTATTTGACGTTGTTTCTAAGACTGGAGCAATACCAATTATACACTGTTTTCAAAGGAGACAATTAAGTAGGGATAGAACCTAGCAAACATATGTTTATGCTAGGGTGATAGACTGAGCACAAATTCTAGGAATGTTGGTTTGACTTAACTTATTATTTGCTCTGCCAGCTTATCGTCAATTCTTGTTCTGTGGTAGTACTTTACTAAGTATTTTCTTATGAAGCATATATATATATTTTTTTTTTATTTTTTTTTTATTTTTTTTTTGGTGATAGTACAAGTTATTATCTATCCCATCAATTAGCCCCTTTCTTATTCTAGAAAATATCTTATTTTGTGAATATTGAATGCCGTTCCAAGTTTCTACAATGTTCACCTCCACATACTTTGGTATGTATAAAAGCAATGAAACAATTTCTCATGTTAGATATTGCTTTATTTTGCCGTTCAGTACTGATAACTTTACTTTCTAGGCAATCGTTCATTTTAATTGATGTAATCTTTGATTGCAGCATCTGTTTTGAAGGAAAAACTTGCTGCATTGGGCTCTTCTGGAGTACTGGCTGACCACCAGTTGCAAGCACAATTGCAAGAGCATCATTTGAAAGGGTGGGTTGAGATGCTGTTTTAATTTTAACTTTTATCCCTATTGTTTTCGTATGAAAGGAGAATTTTTTTTAGTGACATTTACAGTTGCTTTTCCTATTTAAGAATCAATGCCAACACAATGAATATTCATTCGGCTACTTGGTTTAGTGTGAGTCTACTAGATGGATTTTGAGCAAAGAGCACCTTTTGATGAGAGACTAGAACAAAAGGCTTCAAAGAAACTAATCTTTATTGATCTGTATGAAGCCAGTAGGTGAACAATGGTAATTGTGGGTATCTGTACCTGAGGTTCTAGGTAAGGGTCAATATATATTGAGCGGAATAGGAGATCCTTCGAACATTGGTATATTAGAAATCCTGGCAAATTTAAAACTTAAAATTAATTAATGTTTTACTGGGCATTCTGCATTTGTTACACAACAAACTATCAAGCCAAGCAAGGATAGTGGGTGGGAATATTATTGGACTATTGGTTTGAGTTCTGAAAGAATTTGATGTTACAAGAAATGCTTATATATGAATTGGATCTCGGTGCTGATTTATTAGTTTTATTTTTCACTAGTCGATTTGTACACCATAGAGGACGAGGGCCATGTTGCTGCATGTTGGATTAGGGTTTAAATACCCGCTATATGTATTTTTATTTCTATAAAAATTTTGTTTTGCTTTTTATTCTATAAAGTAAGAGGATTCCAAAATCTTTCATATTGCTTCCTTCTTAAAAAAATCTTTTTTTTTTTGGGTAGTTTTGCCATGTGTTCACAGCTTCACACTATGTTCTTAACAAGCAAGCCATATGAAAGAGTTTATCCTTAAAAAGGAACAGGGATTGTCTTTTAAGGTCTTATCTGTTTAAACTTTAAAGAACTTCAGATAAACAGAAGGCCTTAAAACTTCTTACCCATGATTGTCCTTCTTTAATCCTTATGTCATTTTGTGTGTTAGACCTTTCTAAATGTTCCACTGCTCACTTGGTTTATAGCACTGGTGGAGACACTAAACATCGGTGTTGGCCCCGCTTGTGTCTGCTATGCGCACACAAGTGCCGCGACTAACCCCTCACTCTTGTAGCCAATTGGCAAAAGTGCTCCTTATGAATCAAACGCTTACTTGTGCTTCAATAAGTATTCATCCCTTTCCGTGCAAGACTTGCACTCTTGCTGGTTGGTAGGCAAGGGCGCGTTGCACGATTCGTCGTCAAAACACTCGAACCTTCTAAAAGGATTGATAAATTGATATGGTGTCAGTTACACCATGATTTGATATGTTATTGTAGAAATCTTTCTCAAGTTCAGGCATCTTACATTTTATTCAAGTACAATATCCTTGCATTGGCATTTTTTCGCTATGCATATCAATACATAATTGACAATATTGTTATTATAGGATCAATCAATTAACAGAAAGCGATAGTCTTTTGTGTGTGTGTGTGTGTCAATATCATGGTATTTAAATGTTGATCGAAGATGATAGCTCTAGTTAAAGCTTTTACTAAGGCTATGTTCAGTTCAACTTATTTTGATCATACCACATCAGATATTATCTTATCTTTTTATTTGCGTTTATTTATCGTTGAATATCTTTATTTTCATAATTTAATTATTTTTTTGAAAATTTCATTTTTGGAAAGCACATATTAATACGATTTTAATGACATCTCATTTGATAATTTTTTATCTTACGAATTAGTGTACAAATTAGGTCAAAGTTTGGTCAAAACTAGAAATCAGATCAAATCAAATCAGAAAAATTCATACTATATTAGATCATGTGAACTGAACATAGCCTGATAAGGAATGTGAAATTAGTCATTGTTCTGGCTAAATGACAATTGTTGGACACTTGCACTTTAAAGTAGGAAAAGCCTGGTGCCTCTGTTGAAAAACAACCTTTTCATTTGTTTTTTCAATATTAATTGATTTAGTTTCTCCATATCTGATTAAAATTTTCTTTATTATGCCAGACAAAATCAGCTTACAATTGCTGACATTGCGCGGAAGGCTTTCCTGTACAGTGTATGTTGCTGCATTTTCTTATACTTGAAAATTCATTGTGGGCCTTTATGCTGTGGGGGAAGTTCCATCTTATGACTATAATGCACAACTGCACATTTGATACTGTTGTAGTGAATGTTGAGGCATTTTTGTATATGACTTTTTTTCTCTTTCCTAATGCATATCTGATTGGTAACTGTGGAACCTTTGTTCTCACTTTGGCCCTGAAAACATGTTTTCTTATCTTTTGTATGGAACTATGGATGTGCCACAGTTAGATGCTATTACAGTATATTTTAAGTTGGTGACATTCTATGATCAGCAACTGCTTGAAATTATGTTTGCTATTGCTGTAGATAAATATAATTCATGGAATTGGTTATGTTTAAGAAATTGCTTACATCAATAGATAATATTTACATCAGTGTTTACATATTTCTATCAATCTGATTAATAACATTGAGTCAAAGGCGTTCCACTTCTTTGTTTAACACACTTGTTTCTGTGATATAAAATTCCAGTTGGGAAACTACTATGCCTTTCGAAGTAATTTGCTCTTGATACTTATTACTTCATGTATTGTTCAATATTCTTATTTGTTTCACAGCATTTCTTGGAGGGGCATGCCAAAAGTGCTCCAGTTGCTCGTTTGCCTCTCATCACCTTACTAGATACTAGTAACCATCTTAGACATCTTCCTGTTTGTCAGGTACATCTTTCACTGGTCCCAGTAAACTGTAATTCGATATCTTTTTGATTTCATTAACTTATCCGCCTTGAAATTTGTATTCCATTTCAGCCATTTCATTTGGAGCTTAATTTTTTCAATAAAGCAAATCGGGTTCTGCATTATCCTGTCAGAGCATTCTACATGGAAGGTGTAAATCTTATGGCCTATAATCTATGTTCTGGAGCAGACAGTATTTACAAAAAGCTTTACAGCTCGGTACTAAGGCTAACTTCTGTATAGTAGTTTTTTTTTACAAGTTTTGTGATGTTTTTGTGTATCTGCTTCCATGATCATGTCTTAAACTCTTCCCTTTTTTGTTGTTGCTTTCAGATTCCTGGAAATGTTGAATATCAACCAAAGAGTGTTGTATATAGTAGGAAGCAGAATTTATTTCTTGTTATTTTTGAGTTAAGTGGTGCAGCAAATGAAGTTGTTCTCTACAAAGAAAATACTGATACCCGACTGGCGAATAGTAAAGACAGTACAGTCAAAGGTTGGTACATATAGAAACCAATTTCAGGTCTTCATGTGGAAAAGTATTCACACTGGATTTTGTATTGATGTAGGTCAAGATGCAGCGTTCATTGGTGTTGATGATAGCCAGTTTGCTATTCTTGACAGTGATAAGATTGGACTTGCTTTGTATATACTTCCTGGAATGTCATCTAAAGAACTTGATGACAAGAACAAAGCAGCACTTGAAGAAAATCCTACAGCAGATCTAGCTGCTGATCCTGCTCCAACAAGTTCTGTCAAGGGTCCAGTGCATTTTATGTTCGAATCTGAAGTTGACCGTATTTTCTCTACTCCATTAGGTAATTACAAAAGAAAATTTATATCTTTGATTTTCAATTTTATTTTTGAATATCTTGCTGATCCATTTTCTTTTTTTTTTTTTTTTAATTGCAGATTCAACCTTGATGTTTGCTTCTCATGGAAATCAGATTGCTTTGGCAAAGATTGTGCAAGGATATCGTCTATCAAGCAGTGATGGCCGTGGCCATTATATACCGACAATGGCTGAAGGGCGGAAGTCAATCAAGCTGAAAGCGAATGAGATAGTACTCCAGGTAATATTTGATACAGTGATAAGAGATATTTTTCGTTGCAATCACATTTATGCACAGATTACTTACCTCTTAAGAGGCATTTGGTTAATGTTGATGTCTTTTGGTTGACTACCTTTGTAGGTTCATTGGCAGGAGACTCTTAGAGGTCAAGTTGCTGGGATAATGACTACTCATAGAGTTATTATTGCTTCAGCAGATTTGGAGATTTTGGCTAGTAGCTTAGCAAAATTTGATAGAGGACTTCCTTCGATATCCTTTGTCAATTGGGCACCATTTTTCAGTTTTTGGATTTCAATAATTAAGAATATTTACAGAACTTGTTGAACTTGACTTTTTTTATACTTTAGATCTCTTCTGTGGATTGGTCCTGCTCTCCTTTTTTCTACTGCTACAGCAATCAGTGTGCTTGGATGGGATGGAAAAGTGAGGACTATCTTGTCAACTAGCTTGCCAAATGCAGGTATAGTGATGCCTTAGCTTTTTATGTATTGTCATATATCACTCTTTTGTCTACAATATGTTATAGTTTATCCATCCCTAAGAGAATGCCTAACAATTCCGTTTTGGCATTTTACTGTTTTGTATAGTATGCATAAACTTGTGCCACCTCCATTGTTGCACTAGCGTCTAGTATATGTATATTATGTGTTTTAAAATAATTTAATGAAAAGTTGAAAACACTTTCCAAAACTTTCTATTATGTCGAAGTGGCCTTTAGGACTGAGGTTATCCGAGCAATAAGCTGTTGCTTAATGACCTTTATTTTATCTGTTGAAATTTCTTACTTTTCAAGTGGCAACTTTTTAGATGTATATGTGAATGGGTGTAATTTTTTTTTTTTTTTTTTTTTACTGCAGTTCTTGTGGGAGCGTTAAATGATCGCTTGTTGCTAGCAAACCCAACAGACATAAGCCCCAGGCAAAAGAAGAAAATTGAGATAAAAAGCTGTCTTGTTGGACTTCTTGAGCCGCTTCTTATCGGATTTGGAACAATGCAGCAATACTTTGAGCAGAAGCTTGACCTTCCTGAAACATTATATCAGATCACATCAAGGTACACTTAGAAGTATTACGACTGGAATGCTTATTTTGGGACTTGTGTCCTTTTGTGATTTGTATAGGGTGCCCTGTGCCCCGGTGCCCCTGTGTCTTATTTCCTTTACATTGTGACCTTCCATCTGACTTGTTTATAATAATCCTGGTGAAGGTTTGACAGCCTTCGCATTACTCCTAGATCACTTGATATATTAGCTAGGGGCTCTCCAGTTTGTGGAGATCTTGCCGTGTCATTATCCCAAGCAGGTCCACAGTTTACTCAGGTGACTATTGAGTTATATTTCAAAGATTATGATACAGTTATATCCTTACAATAATTGTTTTCCTCACTTGCAATTTTGGAAATATACCTAGGTGCTGCGAGGAAGTTATGCCATCAAGGCCCTTCGTTTCTCTACTGCTTTGTCCGTGTTGAAAGATGAATATCTGCGTTCAAGAGATTACCCTCGATGTCCCCCGACATCTCATTTGTTTCATCGGTTCCGGGAGTTGGGATATGCCTGTATCAAGTATGTTGATAGTCCAAATAATTCTGAAGTTTTCTTTCTCATATGACCTTGATGATATTTTTTGGCTTGTTTTTACAGAGGAGAATTATTAGTAATCATCTTCATTTACACACATGCTTCCAAAATATGTGACATTATTCATAGTGCCAAATGCCCCACTCGCTAGTTTGGCTTGTTTGCCAATTCCATTCAGGAAGAATTAATTGAAAAAAAAAAATACAGAGGGAGTTATATATATGGAATGAGAAATCATGCATTTTTTTTTTTTGGTTATAAATTTCATATGTGAAGATGGTTTTGAATAGCAGCAGTCCGTAGCATTTTTTCGTGCAAATGATTTTGCCCTTCTTTTTCCTAGATAACAGATAAGTTGCAAATGAAATTGCAGGTATGGACAGTTTGACAGTGCTAAGGAAACATTTGAAGTTATTTCAGACTATGAAAGCATGCTTGATCTATTTATATGCCACCTCAATCCTAGTGCAATGCGACGTCTTGCACAGAAACTGGAAGAAGATGGTGCTGATCCAGAGTTGAGGAGATGTTGTGAAAGAATTTTACGAATTCGTTCCACTGGGTGGACACAAGGCATTTTTGCTAACTTTGCTGCTGAAAGTGTGGTTCCTAAAGGACCTGAATGGGGAGGTGGAAACTGGGAAATTAAAACACCAACAAATATGAAGGATATACCTCAATGGGAATTAGCTGCTGAGGTAATGCCATACATGAAAACTGATGATGGGCCTATCCCTGCAATTGTGACAGATCATGTTGGTGTTTATCTTGGCTGTATAAAAGGAAGAGGAAATGTTGTTGAAGTGAGAGAAGATAGTTTGGTGAAAGCTATTACATCTGCGGCTTCTGATGGTAAGCCAAACGGGATCTCTACTTTGGCTGATTCGATATCGAGCAAGGGAGCTACTGCAGCTGATTCGAAGGGTGCTTCATTGATGGGTCTAGAAACACTTACCAAACAGTCTTCAGGATCTGCTGCTGCAGATGAACAAGCAAAAGCCGAGGAAGAGTTTAAGAGGTCACTGTATGGTACTTCTGGTGGTGATAGTAGTGATGATGAAGAGGGTGAGTCAAAAACTAAGAAATTTCAAATCAGAATTCGAGATAAACCGCTTTCATCTGCTACTGTTGATGTCAATAAAATCAAAGAAGCCACGAGGCAGTTCAGTTTGGTCCCGCCAATGGGTAGGACCAAGTCATCAGCTGGTGGATCTCAGGACCTTGGCCACACATTCCAACCTGCCGTTACAGCAACCAGCATGGGCTCAGCTCCCCCTATTTATGCTGCTCCTGGGGATCTCTTTGGTTCTGATGCACTAGCTCAACCACCTGCTGGTTCCCAGCCATCACCAGTGGTGAAGGGAGGTGGGGCAGCTGTTGGGCCTATTCCCGAAGACTTTTTCCAAAACACTATCTCTTCTCTTCAAGTTGCAGCTTCGCTCGCTCCTCCAGGGACTGTAATTTCTAAACTGGATCAAAACTTTCAAGGGGTTGGAAGCCATCAGGTTGCAACTAGTCAACCTAGTTCATCTGCAAATAACATTGGTTTTGCAGATGGTGGCGTACCCCCTGAAGTGACTCAACAAACTGCATACTCAACTGAATCAATTGGGCTTCCAGATGGAGGGATTCCACCGCAATTTGTGGGTCAGAATGTTGTCCCGCCACAGCCTCAGATTCAAGCCACTCAGCTGTCTAGTTCCTCTCAACCTCTGGATCTTAGTGTATTAGGAGTGCCTCCTGGTGCGGCAGACTCTGAAAAGCCTCCTGCACAACCCATTCCAACTTCTGTACGTCCTGGACAGGTGAATTTCCCCGTCTTTCCATGTTTGCGTTTTGTATATCTTTGCCAGCTATCTTGAATTTCCTTTTGCTCCAGTGCTTAAGATTTCATTTTGTGCTTTATTATGTTACTCTCTTATGAATCTTCATAGCCCAGGCCTTTTTTTCTTTTTTCTTTTCCTTAATCTATTTTCTACTAGTCACTTTGCTCCATAGTTTTTGTTGTTTTCTGTAGGAAGTCCATATATATTAACTAAAATATTATCGACGGGCAAATTTCTCATCAAGTTAACTTCTTCACATGTTGTTTGTGTAGTTTTCTGTAGGAAGTCCAAATATATAAACAAAAATATTTTCAATGGGCATATTCTTGAGTCTTCTCTAATTGTGTTTACACTTCACTTTGAAGCAGGTTCCTCGCGGGGCAGCTGCTCCAGTATGCTTTAAGACTGGACTGGCACACCTTGAGCAGAATCAGCTACCAGATGCATTATCCTGTTTTGATGAATCTTTCCTTGCTTTAGCCAAAGATCACTCACGCGGCTCTGATATTAAGGCCCAAGCCACTATCTGTGCTCAGTATAAGATTGCAGTTACTCTGCTTCAGGTATAGTTTCTATAAACAACCTTTTTGAAGATGGGGATCTTCCCTTTAGCACCAATATTTCCTTCTGTTGTCTTCTTATTAGAGGTTATTATGACCCAAGTCGTTTTCCTGCATTCTTGGCGTGCTGCTATGGTGGATTGCAGCTACTGGTTTTTTGCTTTGTGGTTAGGGCATTCCTTGACCTTGCAGCTACTAGTATTTTGCTTTGTGGTTAGAGTATATCTGGCTGAAATGCTGAATAGCAGTTGCAGTCTGTGTGAAGAAGACAGGAAAACCTAGTGGCTTTATTAATTTGTATACAGTTTTGCTGTATGATGTGTTTTTTTGCATAAACCTACATGTTTGGTTGTATATCTATCCGTTGTCATAAAAAAATTTCACCTATAGCTATAAACCATTTACCCAACCCACATTAATTTTCAGGAAATTGGACGGCTACAGAGAGTTCAAGGCCCTCGTGCTATTAGTGCAAAAGATGAGATGGCCCGATTGTCCAGGCATCTTGGTTCATTGCCCCTTCTTGCAAAACATCGCATAAGCTGCATAAGAACTGCCATAAAACGGAACATGGAAGTCCAAAACTATGCTTATTCGAAACAGATGCTCGATCTCTTATTCTCTAAAGCACCTCCTGGCAAACAAGAGGAGTTGAGGAGCCTGATTGACTTATGTGTCCAAAGAGGCTTAACCAACAAATCAATCGATCCCATGGAAGACCCATCACAATTCTGTGCTGCCACCCTCAGCCGTTTATCCACAATTGGTTATGATGCTTGTGATCTCTGTGGTGCTAAATTTGCTGCATTATCAGCACCTGGTTGCATTATATGTGGTATGGGAAGCATCAAAAGGTCAGACTCTTTAGCAGGTCCTGTTCCCTCACCATTTGGCTAAGGTTAATGAATTTGATTGGATTTCAAAATGAGATGAAACCATTGTTTCTGTCTCACAATTTTCGGGCAAGTTATGATGTTTTTGACTTGCTGACTGCTGTGCAAGACGTAGTTGATATCTTTTAATTTCTATTACACCACCCCCCCCTCTATCGTTTGTCTTTAGAGGTTGGGAAAAGTGGAAGGGGTGGTTTCACCAGGTTTTGTCCCGAGCATATGTGTGTATTTGTGTATGTATAACGAGATTTTTTTTTCTTGGGAAGGAATATGCATATAGTATGTAGCTGTTATTACCCCTGTAAAATACTGAGTAGTTAAAACTATCCATTAGTTATAACATCTTGGATATTTATGGTTGCTCCTGTAAATGCCATGCCAGTTTTGACATTGAGAATTCACCTTTTCAGTTTGAGGAGAAACAAGTATGGGGAACTTGGGGAGGGTTATGGAAAATTTTCATTTTTGTGCTTGATGTTTAACCTAAATTGGGTAATTGATGTTTACAAACTAATAAAAACATAACAAGCGGAATAAGTTTGTAAATCTCTAGTAATCAAAGCAAAGAAATCTAAACGGGAGATATGTTAAGTGAAATTTTGCCAAAATTCAGGCAACTAAAATGGAGATTTCCTTGAAAAAAAAAGGTTCATTTAATAGAGTTGTGTTTGATATAACAGTAATTTATTGAACTATTACAACTTTGGGTGTTAGAAGATACCAATTTATATATATCAAAACTTTTGGTGTTTGAAAATAAAAATATTATTTTAAAAAAAAAAATATAACAAAGCTCTGATACCAATTTGTCAAGAAATAGACAAGGATCGATCGATTTAGGTAATATTGATATGCACGGAACATAGACAATAATAAGTTAAATTTGAGAAATAATGTAGAAAATAGATGAGATGAACACATGATATACATGGTTCGATTAAAATGACCTACGCCCACAGGATAAGAGATATTATTTTCTTATTAGCTTTCATGAAGGATAAACAAGAGATATAACAAAGAAGATACAATGCTCTCATCCCACAAAATCTCTCAAGTGGAGTTAAATGTTGGCTTGAATTGGCTAGGCTAATCAATGTGAGCACTTAAGCACTTTTAATTGTTCACCCAATGTTTCCTTATACTCCCTCTGTCCCCAAAAGTTTGACCCTTATGGTCAAAATTTAGCCCCAAAATGATCATCCCATTTGCATTAAAATACCCTCCAATTTACAACAATATTTGTGCAAAATTAGATTTCCCATGTATATTTCGCTTTTCCATGTACTTTTATTATTCTCTGTCTCTACTTTTTTGCAAACCCCATGTGAATTACATTTTCCAATGTACTTTTACTACTATCATTTTTATTTCTTAATACCCGCGAAATCAACCCAAAAGGGTCGTTCTTTCGGGGACGGAGGTAGTATAACATAAGGAAACCATAAAGAAACCCTAGATTAATCCCCAAAGAATATCATTAGTAGCCGTCATAAGCGTACCAATAGGAAGCAAAAACGTCTTCACTTGACTAGGCACGGGCGTGTGTAGGTGTCGTTCGAAGTGCGCTTACTTGAACATGTTGTGAATATGCTTGACACTCATAGGAAGTGAGAATTGACATATATGATTAGGAACAAGGAAAGTAGGGAGCCGCCAACAAGTTTTTAAGAAACTTGTAAACCGTTCACGGATCATTTAAGGCAACCACAATAAAAGGGACAACGATAGGCAACAACGATTGACCCGTGAAGGTTACACCCCATTCATAATCCATGAGATTATTAACTCCATATGGTTCGGAACCACGAAAGGAGGATCGGGATGATGGTACGAAGTGAGTCATGGAGTCACATTCGCCCGTATTGGCCTCTACTCGATTCTTATTATGAAAAGTATTCTTGCAATCTCAAAGGCACACAAACAAAGATTCAATTTGCTCCAAACTAATATTAGGCTAAATTGGTTGAATATTAATGCAACACATAATTCTAAAATATTGTGATCACTTGATTAAACAACAAGATTAAAAAGGATCCGAACCGGTTGTCCAAATTATCTTATTAGGCGTTATATTCAATTACATATTTCCTTTATACATGCAATATGGTGATCAATACAATAATAAAATCATCATTAACATTGGAAGCAATTTAGCCATAACATCGTGAGTCAAATCATCAAGAATATAATAATAAACCCTAACATGATACTAGCAATAATAATAAAAAAAAGTAATTAAATTAATTAATTACTCATGTTTAAATTAATTAATTACTCACATCACGTGCGCTCCTTTAAATTGCTATATCATAAATAAATTGTTAGTAACTTCAAGAAATAATAAATCAAATTGAAATTAAATTAAATAAAAGTAGAGTTGATTTGGTCCAAACCCTCAATCGGTTCTACCTTTCACGCCTTGGTTTAAGTATGGAACTTCGGGTGTTGTATGGACTCCTTGGAGTGCTTAAGGAAGGAATGGTGTAATTAGGAGAATAGGTTTAAGGCTTAGAATATGAGAGAGAGAGAGAAATTAGAATGTGTGTTGGTGCCCCGAAACTGAGAAATCAGCCTCGTATTTATAGAGAAAATGTGAGGGGTGAGGTACGGAACCCTGGAAACGAGGCGCCGCGTAGATACAAACCCTAGAAATTGCCATGCCGTGGTGCGGCAAAATTTGCTGTGGCGCGGTAATTTCCAGTTTTTACGCATTTTTAAAACTATGTTAACTTTTGATTCGTAAATTGGAATAAGGCATATAATACATCGTTGGAAAGATCTTCAAGTCTGCTTTCCAACCCAATTAGAATCAGGTTAAAATATTTTTTATATTTTAAGATATGGCCGTTTTAGTGAAAGAGTGTCGATTTTGGGCCGAGTTTTAGTGTTTTGCTCATATCTTCTTCGTTATAAATCGGAATTGGGCTTATGATACACCGTTGGAAAGATTATTTCAAGGCCTATCCAACCAAATAATATTTGGATCAAAATTATAGGGCTAAAAAATCAGTTTAGCTCGATTTTGTGATGTGGACACGAAAAGAGGAAAATAAGTTATGGTTTGAGGAAATGGGCTAAGAATTGGGTTGGTTTATGAAATGTATATCAACTCCTCCATGTCCTCCACACAGTAATGAGTGGCAATGCTCAAGAACTCCTTCGATCTCATGGTCCGGAACACATTTCCGGAAGAGGCCATATCCACACTGCTTAAACAAGTAGGGGTCATTCCAAAAGTACCTCCTCACTTCCTTGAAGAACCTCTTCTTTTGTTGAGAAGAATACTCCGGGGGAATGACCCCGCAAGCAAGATAATTGGCTATATCTGCATACCACGGGCTAGATGTTGAAGCCATAGCCATGAGAGTTTCAAATCCTACTTCTTCATTGATTGGCACATCCTCCTTATTCTCAAAAGGAAGCCTAGAGAAATGATCCGCCACAAAGTTCTCCGCTCCCATTTTATCTCTCATCTCCATGTCAAAGTATTGGAGTGAAAGAACCCAACGGATGAGGCATGGCTTAGCTTCCTTCTTGGTCATAAGATAGCGAACCGCTATATGATCCGTGTACACAATCACTTTGGAGCATATGAGATAGGACCTAAACTTGTCCATGATTGGATTGAATATGGATTTAAGCACTCCAAAGATTAAATACTTAACCCGACAAATGGTGGTGAAAGGTTGTTTATCATCGGGTTTGGCTTTAGGGAGACATTTTTAGGTGTCTATAGAAGCTCCCACTTTAACTGAGTTTGTAGAAACGTAAGTTTCGAAAACGATAGTCAAAGTAGTCGATTGAGACGGAGAATGATTTAAGACGTTTTGCAATCCTAAATCACTCTGTATACGCCGATACCTGTAGAAAAGCATTAGTTCCACATATAAAAGAGTAAAGGATAGAATGCATATCTGACACTAGTGCGTCGACAACAAATATGTTTGGTAGCTTTTTTCGCCTTGAGAAATTAAATCTACCGAATGATAGTTTTCCGCGCCTCGGGAATTCTATCGTGAACCACTGTGCCTTGAGTGATCCAGTGAATCAAAGGTGACGAATTTTCACGCCTCGGGAAACGTGTCGTAGACTCCTGCGCCACGAGTAGTCTATTGAATGATGATCTTTCACGCCTCGGGAAGAATGATGAATGATAGTATCCGCACCTCGGGAATCCTATCATGAATCACTGCGCCTCGAGCAGTCCCCTAGATGAAAGATGACAAGTTTCCATGCCTCGGGAAACATGTTGTAGACTCCTACGCCTGGAGCAGCCTACAGAATGATGATCTTCCGCGCCTTGGGAAGACTAATATGAGATAGTATTCGCGCCTCGGGAATCCTATCGTGAGCTCCTACACCTCGAGTAACTCACAAGTGAAATTCCATACTCCGGGAATAACACTAAGTGTCCGCGCCTCGGGACACAATTGCAAACCTCTACGCCTCGAGAAGTATGCAACGACTGACCATTTTCCGCGCCTCGAGAAAACATGCCTGATGATGAAAGATTACAAGCCTCTACGCCTCAAGAAACTTGCAAGGTGATAGGCCGTCGTCGAGCCTACCAAAGATATAAACCTAACTTGGTCTCTCTAATGGGTAGAAAGGGCAAGTAAGGGTCGATCCTACAAAGATTAAGGGGAGCACTAACAAATTTCTATTTGTGATAAGCTAAGTCAAGTCTTTTTGGGTTATGAGTTATGAAGAAAAACTACAAACAATAATAAAAAGGATCTTGGGAAGGTATCCACAAATTAAGTCTATTCACAAACTATAGTTTAACATACAAGACATAGCAATTTGGGGATAAATTAGGGGAAGTCATCTAAGGCACCCAACTACTCTCTCAAGCTAGAGGGATTACTTGAGTCATGAATACAACCTACTCTCATGGTTACAAAGCATAAAACTTCGTGGAGTTGTTGTTGTTTTTTTTTTTTTATATATAAAAAAAAAGGTTAATCCACTACAAAAATACTCGGGTTGCCTCCCGGAAGCGCTTCTTTAACGTCACTAGCTTGACGACATTGCGCAATCCATAATTAGGGAGGGTCAAGGCACACCTTTTTGACCCATCTCATTGTTCCCACACACTTCCCATTTTCCTTAGGCAAAATAATCACATTGCTATCATCACTAGAAATGCCACCAAACAACTTGTCCATCAAATTGATCTTGTTTCTCTTTTTCTTCTTGGCCCTCTCTTGATTTTTCACCTCCAGAGCATGAGTCAATTCATCTTGTGACTCCTCCATGTCTTCTTTCAAAATATTAACCAAAACATCAATCCGATGAACTTGTTTAACCATAGGGTCATTCAACGTTTCCAAAAACGAGAAAGAGATTATTTCATCCCCAACATGTAAGGTAAGCCGCCCTTGTTTTTATGTCAATATTAACACCCGCGGTTTTCAAAAAGGGCCTACCCAATATGAGAGGAATTTTGAAATCCTCATCCATCTCCATGATTACAAAATCACATGGCACAAGAACTTTCCCCACTTGAATTGGGATGTCCTTTAAGACTCCCAATAGGACTTTAATCGAGCGGTCGGCTAGTTGGATTGACATTTTGGTGGGGCTTATCTCCCCAAGATTCAATATTTTTTCCATAGAGAGAGGCATAAGGCTAATGCTAGCCCCAAGATCACACAAAGCATTTGTTGATTCAAAATGAAGTCCTTTCATTTCATCAAGGAACTTGGAAAGTTTCTCATTTAGCTTTTTCTCTATCATTCTATGAGGGAATGGAATACAAGACTCATATGCTTTCAATGGAGCTTGGCTCTTCACTTCTCCCTCGTCTCTCGTTGAGGCACCCTCATTACTCATTTTTGACCTTCCTCTCGCCTCCTCACTCACTTCATTTTCAAACTCACTTTCATCTACCCAATAATCTCCCTGACCTCCCTTTTTGGCAACCTTTTCTCTCATAATTGGAGCTTCATACCCCCCTTCCAAAATCAAGGTGATTGATTTCGCATGCTCTTTTGGATTCATTACCATTGTGCTTGGAAATTGACCATCGGGGTTAGAGGAGCACCCAACTTGTTGCGCAATTTGAGATAATTGACTTTCAATCATCTTGTTGTGTGCTTAAAGTTGTTGAATTGAATCTTGGTTTGTTGGGTCATGAAGGTTTCCAAAACTGATTCAATGTTGGATTTTTCCCAAACCCTAGAAAATTAGACTACTCACAATCCATTGAAGTTAAAGCAATTAAAGATTTCAAGCAACTCATGAATAGATTCAAACTAAGAATTAAGCTAATTAACAATCTAAGCATACAAGAATTAAGCAAGTAATTAGCAATTAAAGTAGAGAAGATTGAAGAAAAGAGTGAGAAATAGTTACTAGAAGCTTCAAACTTGAATAACAATGGTGGAACTTGTCTTCTACAATGATTGAATTGAAATTTCCAAGATTAAAAACTAAGAACTAAGCAATGATTTGAGAGTTTTTGATGTTCTAAATTACAAACTAAGAGAGAGGACTCTAGGTAATTGAATCCCCCCGTACAAAAGAATCCCCGAAACTATTTATAATACCCTAATTACATAGTAATCTCCGCAAAAGAAAATTCACAGGAGCTATCGGGGTGGCCTCTCCAAGCCTTGGAGAGGCCGCTCCAAGGGACTGGAGAGGCCGCTCCAAACTGGGAGAAAATTGGGGCAAATGTTCAGAGGGCTCTCCAAAAAGGTGGAGAGGTCGCTCCTCAGGTGGAGAGGCTGCGCACCTATGTTAGAGAGGCCTCTCTGCATTTCTTCTTTCAAATCTGCCAAGGAAGGCAGGAAGTTCAGCATTGAGGTGGAGAGGGCTCTCCAAATAGGTGGAGAGGGCGCGCCAGGTGGAGAGGTCGCAGCCTATTTTGGAGAGGCCTATCCCCACAAAATTTCAACAATCTGCCAAGGAAGGCAGTAGCTACAGCAGCGAGGTGGAAAGGCCTCTCCACTAACCTGGAGAGGCCGTGCCTGAGCAGAGGCCTCTGCACTACACATTTCTCTTTCTTCTTGACTTGGCTCCTTTGCCTTGGCTTATTTCCATCATCTTCTTGCTTCCAACCTAGGTTTATCATCCAAGGACTTCAATTGGTCGTCTTTAGACCTAAAAACTCAACAAAAACACTAACAACTCATGAAGTAAAGGATACATAGAAAATGCATTAGAATAGATTAAAAGTGAACCAAAAACACCAATTTATCAAGTAATCAAGGTTCAAAAACACCCTAAAATCATATCAAATAACAAGTTATCACAAGGTGAATCTATCGTCCGTGCCTTGAGATGATCTCTGAGTGTTTGATAAATGTCCGATTGTCCCCGAACATAGGCCGTAAATGATGATTTGTTCTATTGTCCTCGAATATAGGTTGTACCTGAGACTTGCAAATGGAATTTGCCAAGGGACTCGTATAGACTGTGATTGACTTGACCAACTAACTTGACCAAGCTTGACTTGACATGACATGGCATGTGTATGACTTGTGATTGTGTGTGTATATGTATAGTTTGAGTGCGTGTGTGCAGACACAAGCAACTGAAAATGCAAAAAAAATTCTGTCATTTTTTGTCATGAGTGTAGGGTAGCGACTTTCTCCCGAAAAAGAAAGACGTGAAAAATGAAGTAAAAGTTTTCGAACTTCCCTTGATAAAAATTTTGAAAAGGTTTTTGAACTTCCCCAAAAGAAAAAATGATGAAAAATGGAAGAAGTTTTGAACTTCCTCATTGAGCAAGCGAGGTGAATCGCATGGATTTTCTTCTTGTCAAATTGAATCGTTCGTCTGGAAAATAATGTATGCAATGATGAATGTTCTTAGTTCAGGAGGCTAAGGACAATTACATCATGTGACACGATCAATGAATGCACTTAGGTCAGGAAGCTAAGCACAATATAATCATAGTTTATTTTTGATGTATGTTGCTTGGGTCAGAAAGCTAAGCATCATATGTGGTGTACAATCTTGGACGTTGCTTAGGTCTGGAAGCTAAGAACGTTTACAACGGTGATTGCTAAGTATTGCTTAGGTTAGGGAGCTAAGAAAGTGTAATAATGAATCTTGATGAATGTTGCTTAGGTCAGGGAGCTAAGCAAGTGTACAATGATATATAACCATGATGATGTTTAATTTGCTGGATGTTGTTGTGAAGAATGATGAAGCATGCGCGTTGATGAAACAAGATTTCATGATAAAGGGTTCCTAAGGGAAGGATGATGTGGCAATGTATATGAGTGTGAATAATGTGTGTGAAAGTGATACTAAGGTTTGGCTGCAAAGGCTGTGGTGATGGAAATAGATGTGAAAAGAGTTAGGATGGTGACTCTTTAGGCTAGGTAGGCTAAGTGATGTGGATGGGTTCAAGTCCCCAAGTCTAGCTCTAGAGGGATAGGGATGAGCACTGGATATCCTTAAATGCGATCATGTATGGATATAAATATGAATATGGTCGCGCATCGTTGTGAGGTTGCCTACGTATCCGTTAGGAATAAGGCCAAACGTAGCTCTAGCTAAACTTTGCACAAGTGTATGTATTCCTCAAAGAGGTCTTTTGAGGGTTGTAACGTGGTTAAGCTAGCGGTTTGAAGAAGAAAGGATGAAAGACTCATGATCCGAGAGAAGTCCCCTAAGATGTGTAATTGTGTATTTGAAAGAATTTGAATTTTGCAAGTTTTATTTTTCATATATTTTGCTTTATATTTAATCAATGTGAGCAATCTCGGATCATGCGATCCATCACTCACTTAGCATTCATGTTTCTCAAGCACGGTACCAAGCACTCGATGAGAGACGCAATTCGAGACGTGTTCATATCAAAGACATTGGAACACTTGCCCTTAGACATTGCTTTATTTTTACTTTTTGTCTTTTTTTTTTTTTTTTTTTTTTTTTTTTGAATTTGCTTTTGAATATTACACAAATTACACACCTTCCCATCCCAAGGTTAGGTAAATGTGGGTTGAAGAAATGAAGGTCAAACGAAAGGAATATGTGTTTAAATGGTTAAAGGGGAATAATGGGTTACAAAGGCGAATGACATGATCGAATGTAAAGGAAAGAAATGCTCAATGATGGAAAAGGTAAGAAACATGACACATAAAAAAACGGATAAGGAGAATCTATGCTAGACTTAGTGGGGGAAAATATTTGAAATAAAAGAAAAAGTGAGCATGAAATTTTGCATGAGAAGTGTGCATCGTGCTTCATGTTTATGGTTGCTTATGAGAGACCTCTTATCGCCTGGAGGAACAAGAAGTTTGTTGTTGTTGATGCTTTGATTGGAAGGAAAGAAAGGAGTGACGTTCCCCTTATCCTTCCAAGTTCCAACTGTTGCCTAGTGATTTTTCATGAGTTCATCTTCGATCTCAATCCCAATAGTGTTAACTGCTTGGAAGGTGTTTAAACCTGGAAACTACCTGTGTTGCTTCTACTCGGGTTGGAGATTGACGATGAAGAGTTAAATGAATCGGAACTCAAACGATTATGGAATAAAATGAGCTCACTTGATGCCTTGACTCAATACTCAGATTGGAAAGAAAGAGTGTGAGAAAGAATTTTGAAAATAGATGGGAAATACTCCACTTTTTTTTCTATTATGACGGAAAACGATGCATGCATGGTCCTAGTATGCGATCATAAACAATATGGTGCATGACTTGAAAACAAAGTGTGTGCAACGACTCAACAAGTGTGATTAAGTGAGTTTATAAGACTCGTGGTATGATCGTATGGCTAGACAAGATCGAGGACGTTGTGAAAAAACAAAGGACCCAAGGACCAAATAGCACAGAAGACTAAAAGACAAACTAACTTGATTAATTTTGTCCAATTTAATGTTTATGATATTTACTAGGTGAAAATGGTCCATTGACAATCGTTAGTCATAAATAAGATCAACCACAATCAAAGACAAAGAACACATGTTAAGGTTAGCGCAATAATCACAAAAGACTAGGAAGAAGGACTAGCATTCTAGAAGAGTTAGGACTCATAGGAAGAGATTAGAAATAAAATAAAATAAAATAAAATAAAATCTACAATCCTATGTTATACAAGTTGACATGGATTAAAGAACTAAGAGAATTAGAAGATTGGCTAAGACTACCTTGACATAAATAAATAAAAAAAAGGATGATTAATTGGACGCTAAAAAAAACTCCTAAACTGGAAAGGCTGCAATATTTCGGTTGTAACTTTTGATCTGTGACTCACTCTGATTGGGACGAAATCAACGCCAAATGAAGAATAAAACTCAGGGCAACAGATCCATAGGTGGCACGACACGTAACTCTTTCTAGAACTCCGGTTATGACCAAAACAAGTCGATGCTTGTGCAGGATACGAGAATAAACATCCGGGTTGACTAAAAATAAAAAATAAAAGAACTATGACTCGACTCTAATAAAAAAGGAGGGTTAGATGTTAGATAAGAAAAAATATAATAATAAATAAATAAATCAATAAAAATATGCACATATAAGCACATTGTCACACATGATGCAATGAAATTTGCATCCTAAGTCTTGTTCTATGTTTGACTATGGTCAAGCTTATTTGGGTGTCGAAAGAGTACCATGGTTAAGAGTTTGGACGTGTTAGCAAGGCAGCCTTATAATACTCCGTATTTTTATGTATTTTTATAAAGTATTTAAGTATTTATAAGATGTATTTTTAAGGGTTCAAGTATTTTAATTAAATATTTTAAAGGGCTAAAGTATTTTAATTATTGAGTTTTATAAAAGTAAAATATATTTTGGGCTAAATGTTTATTAATTATATGGAATAGTTTAAATAATTGTATGTAAGCAATCCTTATATACTCCTATTGGACCTACCCTATGTTATTCAACTAAGCCCAATTCCTTTATTTGAATCCTTGTGGGTCAAATAATTCATGACTAAAGTCCACTTATTTATTAAGCCAAACCTAATATCTATTCTCTACTCTATAAATATTCCCCAAAACCCCAAAAATTTCCCACACAAAGAGACTCAAAAATCAGATTCTT